CCCTGAATTTGGACTTTTAGCCTACTTTGACTGTGAGGAAATAAACTTCTCTTCGTTAAAACCATCCACTTGTGGTATTTCTGTTATGGCAGCACTAGATGACTAAGACAGGCACCAAGGCCTGGAGACAGTAAGTTTCTTGTCTAGCTGGTAAGTGGTGAAGCAGAGAGACTGAGTCCTTTCTTCTCTGATTTGGTAGACTTACAGGCCAAGTGGCTCTTAAGTGCAGAGTATTGTAGGGAAACTACCTCCAGGTTCCTGACTGAAGGGCTATTTGGTTTGTTTACTTCTTAGGGGAAGGTCTGGCAGGGACTACAAACTCAACATGAAGAGTAGTTATTTCCAGCTGTTGGGGGAATGGTCTGCCTCTGCGCCACCCATCCAGGCTGCCTAAGTAGCCTTCGGCCCACAGCGTTCTCTGATAAGGATGCTGGGAATGGGGTTACCTTCTCTCTTCCAGTTCCTTCTCCTTATCAGAGAAGCCTTCTCCCTGTTCTGGGCACACAGTAACTTTCTCTGTCTCTTGCACATTGCAGGCACCATACAGCACCTGGCCAACTCCACTTCTATATCTGTTCCTGGTGGTGGTAGGGGTGGTGGTGGTGGATGGGATCTCTCATGCTACGGCACAAGATGAGGAACATGCCAGATTATAAGAACCAACCCGAAGGGGTGGACTAAAGGGGAAACAGGCTTTGCAAGGCCCAACATGAGCACCCTCACGCTTTCCACTTGTTCACTACACATTGGTTGCTGTCATTCTTATGTAAGCCCCTGGCTTGTAGCCGCTATTGTCCGCTACCCCTATAAAACCTCTGGCCTCCCACTGTGGGGTGTGGAGATCTGCTTTAGTCCTGCAGCTGCCCAGGACTGCCTCATATGCAAGTCTACCTAATAAACTCCTTCGCCACCACATTGGAGTTGCCCACCTCTTTTCTTTGGTCTCTTGGCACCCTCCATTTTTGGAGGCAAGTTTCAGGTTACTGGTCCATGCCTGGACACCAGCCAATATCAGTTGGGCCACGTTAATGTAGTCTGGTGGCATCTCCTGGGTCCATAAAAAACCAGTTGCTGTCTAGTTGACTGTGACTCATGGGAACCCCATGTGTGTCAGAGTAGAACTGTGGGTTTCCATAGGGATTCCAATGGCTGATTTTTCAGAAGTAGATAGCTAGGCCTCTTTTGAGGTGCCTCTGAGTGGACTTGAACCTCCAACTTTTCGGTTAGCAACGAAGCGTGTTAGCCGTTTGCATCACCCAGGAACTCCCCTGGGACCATAGGAAGCTAAGAATCTATTTCTTGGTGGTGGGCTCTTAGAACATCCACCTGGAGTCCTAACATTTAGTGACTTCACTTGGGGTGGCAGCTCACTGTTCTATCCATCCTGAGAAATAATAAGCTTAGTTC